GGAGAAAGGAAAAAACATTAAAAAAAATAAGAACTCTCATCTCAAAAGTGAGGAGTAGCTGGCTGGGGAGGGGGAGGATCTTTGGACAGCCACAGCAGGAGTTTTAAACTTTAGCACAGTCGGCAAAATGCTGATCACGCTGCGAATGATAAATGACTGGAAATTTTTTTTTTTTTTTAAAGCATTGGGTTGGGATAGAGAATAGGACAGGTTTCTTAGAGACCTCTTTGCTTTCTTTTCAATCTTAATATTAACAGTTAAAAGCATTGGGCAATTAACAGGCTTGGGGTTTTATAATTACCAGAAAGAGATAAGCTGCAATCCTAATGTGAAGTTGTTTTTAAACTCCTTCCTCACCCAGCCGTTTTTCTGAAAGTGAAAATATCTAGGGCGGGGCAAAGAAGTAAAAGAGAAACCCCCCAAGACAACATTGGGAAAATGGTGAAACCCATGCCCACATAATGCCTGCTATTTCTGCCAATTATCACTTGCAATGGACAAGAAAAATCAATGAAGAAAAACAAAATAAATGTCCAAAGAAAGAGAGAGGAAAAAACATACATACTTCATAGGAGGTTGTGTGCATATATATATATACACACACACAACTAAAGGAAAATGCTAGAAATAAAAAATAAAGAATATTTCTGATAATAGATTAACAAAGTTAGGGAGAAATCCCCCCTCCCTCACTGCCCAGTCAGCATAAACTAGTCATCTTGCAAAGTTTCATGTTTTAACCCAAATAACAGTTGGAAGGGGGTAGGGGGTAGAAAATGGAAAGGCAAATAAAATAAAACTATTCAAAAGAGTTGAGAGAGCGAGAGAGGAACAAATTAAAAAAAAAAAATTAAAAAAAATAATTCAAAAATATTTACAAATGTAGGTAATCTCTCATATATACATAAATCTTCAGACATTTAGCTGGTAGCATATTTTTTTTCTGTTAAGTATTTTTTTTTTTTCCCCTTTTCACAAAGTCTTCATCATGCAATTTTTGTATAGTCCTTTTTGTGTTTTGAGGGGGGGAGGGGCCCTCCCCTTTCGCCAGCCTTTCATGTTCACATTGCATTCACACAGACATTGTCACAATTTTTTTTTTTTCTTTTTGTGACTTGGCTCATAAAATAAAGCTACTTTCTTTTCAAGGTTAGAAGGGTTATTACATAGTCAGCCAACAGTTAGCTTCTTCAGACTGGCAACTAGAAGAGGTTTTCATCATCACCAAAATTTACTATTTACAAGGTTTTGTACAAAAAAAAAAAAAAAAAAAAAAAAAAAAAAAAAAAAAAGAAAGTGACGGTTAATGCAAGCTATTACTTAAAAAGCTTCAATTGTTACAATACTGTTTTTTTTTTCTTGTTTCTTTTTAGTCCTTACCTCCAAGAATAGAATAGTTTTTGTACCACTTGGCATTGCAGTTTTACAAGGACAGAAACCAACTAATTGCAGTATGAATAATAATATCCATTGTTTTGGTAGGAACCAATTAATCTAGAATTAAGTCATTACAGATTAAACCCCAAAACAGGAGAGGGGTGAAGAGAGGAGAGAGAGAAAAAAAAAACAAGAAACAAAAAAAAAACAAAACAAGAAACAAAAAAAACAAAACCCAAAAAAAAAAAACAGAGACTTGGGGAGTGGTATTAATCATGTGTGTATATATATATATATATATATATATATATATATATATATATATATATATATATATATACACACACTTCTTTAGCTACTAACTTGTTTAAGTTAATCCTAACATTCTTTGGTGTTTAACAAAAAAAAAAAAAAAAAAAAAAAAAAAGTAAGTCATTACTAAATAGTACTAAAAAGCATCTTCAGTGAGAGAAATAAAGTATGAGAGGGCACAAGAGTGAAAAAAGAAGAAAAAAATAAAAAAATTTTTTGTTTGTTTACAGGCACTTGGAACTGAGCTTCACAACATGAAAGAGTGTCAAGTAGAAAGAGAGGGGGGGAAAGAAGCCAGAAGTGGCAAATAATATTAAAAAAGAATTTTAAAATATCCAAGATCAATCTCACCATTATGTCTTTCTAACAAAGTAGAAACTGACCTAAGTTGGCCTGTAAATGATATCAAATTGGAGGAGAATAATAAGTGCGTGTAGCAAAATAAAAGAATATATGCTACTATTTTCAGTTCCTGTATAAATTTAGAGTTATTCCTAAGTAAAAAGTATTTTGTATTTAACACCTGGCTTGCTTATTCAGGTGTAGCGCAGGAAACAGAACAAGGAAATAATGAAACAACAATATTTAAATATCAGAAAGGGAGTGGGGGGGGGAGGGAAGAAATGAAAATAAAAATCATATATATATATATATATATATATATATATATATATATATATGTGTGTGTGTGTGTGTGTGTGTGTGTGTGTGTGGACATAGAAACCAACACTGCAGGATGACTGTCAGTTTCACAACTTAAGCAATCAGACTATTGAGCATTCTTCCCCGATAAATATAGCAAATATTAAAGTAATTGTGTGTATGTGTGTGTGGGTATATATATATATATATATGTAGCGAGGCTGATTAAAATATTTTCCCATAAAAACAAGCAAACAAAAGGTGATTGTTCCAGAATAAAGCAACCAGATACCAGAGAACATACAGCTATGACAAAATTAGAGCATTTGGATTCAGAAACAACAAAAAGATTTTAGTAACAAATTAAAGAAACAAAAAGATAAAAAGTATTGTGATGTTGAGGGATCCTATCACACTATATTTGGTGTGTGTAAAGAAAAAAAAAAGAAGTAATAAATAAAATCTTATAGAGAACCCATATCTTAACCCAAGCATTATAGCAAAAATATTTTCTGTAATTAAAAAAAAAAAATTCCTCGTTTAAATAAGCAGATTGATAAACCCATCTTAAAGAGATTTGTTTTGTTTAACTATCAATAATGATTTGAAAAATAAAAAAAAAATAAACAAATTAATTTTAGTCATATAATGTTTACATCAAAATGAATAATTTTTTTTTTTTTGCATGTATTTTTCTCTATCCTCCACAGGATTTTTTTTTTTTTTTATTTATTATTTTTATTTTATTTTTTTTTTTTGAAGGAAAGCTGCTTGCAAAAGGTTCTTCCGGTTCAGCGTCCACATAAGTATTGTGAGATCTATCACATTTGAAGGTGAGGGAAATTCCCTCCCTCTACACCTTTGTCTTTTGAGTTGTGTTAATTTTGCATTACTTTCTTTTTACTTTATTTGTAAAAATCATTTTCACATTTTTAAATTAGTTCCTTCATGGCTTGAAGATAAACACTTGTTTAAACAAGTTGACTAAATCCAATCAGTTCAGATGCTGTCTGAAGATATTGTGGTTATTATTGTCAAATGAAAAAGTATTTTTCTTTCTTTTTTTTCTTCTCTATTAACAGAAAGACCCCCCCCACAACACCTAGTTATTGGGTTAATTTCAAACTTTTTGAATCATTTGTTTCCAGTGTTGGACAAAATTCACAATGAAACTAAGTCTTCAGTCTCTTAGGATGGAAAGAAGTCCTCGGATATACAATGGCTTCCCACCATCCTCAGTTTCAGGTTTCTCTTCTGAACAGGGAAAAGAGAATTTTTAGAGCAAAATAGTGTGTGTGAGTGTGTATATATATATATATATATATATATATATATACACACACACACACAGAGGTGAATATGATTTTTTGCTTATGTGTATATGTAATATCTACAATTCACAGATACAGATAATATTCTCTAAAGCCCTTCTCTCCGGTATTTTGTTTCATTTTCTTTTTTTTTCTCTTCAAATTGAAATCCGGTGTTGATATCTCTGTATAACAAAGTCGGGAAGGGTTATGTTTTCTGCTTATCTTAGGATTTCCAAATTTTTAGGCAGAGTCTCCATGAATTTGTCAGGAAAAAAAGAAAAAACTGCTTTGTATTTTGTTCTTTTCTGTGTGCAGCAGAAAAAGTTCTTGCATAAAAACTGGCAATATTAAAAACTTGCTCAGTTTCTGTATTTCTATGCCAGCCAAGGCTGTGCCTTCAATTACAAAAAGGGGCCAAAAGTTTAAAAGAAAAATGCACATATATCAAAAAAGAGAAAGAAAAAGAAAAAGGAAAAAAAATTTCACTTTCCACCTTGTAGAATGAGGGGCACTTCACAACCAGCTTGCAGGCCAGAACCACAGATAACATGAGAGAAAGAAGAGAAGGGAGAGGAGAAAAAAAAAGAAAGAAAGAAAAGCACACAAAAAGAAAAAGAAAAGAGAGAGAGAGAGACAGAGAGAGAAGGAACAAAAGAAAAAGAAATGCAAACCAAACTAAATTTTACACCCCGCTTCATAGTTTCTGTTTAAGTGCAACTGATGGTATTTTTTTTTCTTGAGGAATCACACAAAGTATTCAAGGAGTTAATAAAAAAATAAAAAATAATTCCAACCTGCAAGTTGTTTTTTTTTTTTTTAAAAAAAAAAAATCACCAACCAAAAACAAACATCTTTTGGGCCTCCCTTATGTCAACAGCAGTAGAAATGTTCCTGGATTGGTTGGAATTGTCCTACCCACCCTTCATCATTGGGTAAGGGAAGAAGAGAGCCGGGAATCAAGAAGTGATTGGGGATGAGAGAGAGAGAAAAAGAAAAGCACATAAGAAAGAGAGAGGGGCATCTAGATTGGGCAGAAAGCAGAGCAGTTAAAATAAAACAAAGATAAAGTAAAATGTGAAAAGAGGAAGAAGCATGTTTGGGGAAGGAGGAGAAAAAAAGGGGGGGTCATTAAGTAGCAACAGAAATGGGGGGGGGGTAACAAAGATTAAAGAGCAGGTGTGTGAATAGCCAAAAAGTAGCAATTGAAGTTGGCAAGGTAGAAGAAAAAAAATGGTGAGAGGAGGCCACAAGGCATACAAATGGAGAGAAATACTCTGCTAAAAAAAAAAAAAAAAAAAAAAAAAAATCAAGAGGAAAATTCAATATATATATATATTTTTTCCCCAAAACATTGTCTCATTTTGAAGTCCTCTCTCGGTCAGTTTTTCTCCTTTGTCTTTCCCGATTCTCCTTGGCTGGTCTTCTTCCACTTAAGTTGAAACGTTGCTCTTTTGGCTCCAAGTCCTTTCGAAGAATATGTTCTTTGGTTGGCAGCTGTGAATGAGTAGCCGATGGGGAACTCACTTTGAGGGCCTGAGACTGTTCTTTCAATGCTTGGCTTCGTTGGCTTGGAACAGAGCCAGTAGGTTGGAGTAAGTTGTTGGTTACCATCTTGCACATCTGTTCCCCAGGAGCAGAGTGTGCTTGCTGCTGCTGCTGCTGCTGCTGCACTGCATTGGGTGTCTGCTGTGAGATGGGAGCTTGGGACTTGTCAGAACTGCTCACACTGGAGCCATCATTTCCTGGATCTCGTTTACGAGCAACCATCTGGGCATAACTTAATTTGGAAGTAGCTTTTTCCTCCTGGAAAAAAGGAATTCATATCAGAAATTCATGTCAAGATTCTGGCATTTAAATTATTTAAGAAATTTTGCTAATTTGTAATGATAGTGTGATATAAAATTGTTCAGTTGTTTAGCTTCCAAAATATTAAAAACTTAAATCTACAGCCATAAAATAACAAATAAAACAACATTGAGAAATACAAATCAAAAAGAAAAAAAATGCTTTGTAAAGCTTCACATGGTTAGTTAAATATTTAGTAACTAGCCAGATTATGCTCAAGTTAGACAATACACATTTTTGTGGTAAAAATTGCTTTGGTGCTTGCTAAGAGATTTCTTTCAAATAGCATCTTTTCATAACAATGTTGTGGAAATGTAGATTATAAGTGTCTCACATCAAGCAACCTTGTATTTCCCACCAGATATACACAGCCACAATCAAATTTGGCCAACTTGTTTGTCTTTATAAGAACAATAGTCTACATCAACTTGTTCTCAAGATCTTAAAACTGTCAGCAAAAGTGTTATTTGGTAGAAGCACAGGTTAGGTAGAAAAATGACTTTATAGGAGCCAACTCAAAATCTATTGCTTTTACACAGATGAAACAAAAACAGATCTAATATTAATGCAAATTTATATATATTTTCTTATGTACTGAAATTTTGTATAGACAGACACACATAGAGAGAGAGAGAGAGAGAGAGAGAGAGAAATGCTTACCAATGCTAAAACTTTTGTATTTTGTTGCTGCTGCTGCAATGCATTTGAAACATTGGCTACAGAAAGAGCAGATAGTGAGCTAGCAACTGCACTTGAGGTCATACCTTGGGAAACAGGTACTTGCCCAGGGCGAGAATGTCCCTGCTGAGGAGAAGCACCAGCAGCAGGAGCTTGCATACCATGCCCAGATGAAGATGACAAGGGTAACGAAGACACTGACAGCGATTGGCTACTGCTGGCTGGTGGGGTATGAGCAGATGGTGTGGAAAGTGCAGACCCCACAACAGTCTCTTTGGGACTAGCAGTGGTGGTGGCAACAGCAGCGGCTGCAGTCGGTGGAGAGGTTACTACGGTAACTGGATGGGCCTGAGAACTCCCCACCAACAAAACAGGATGAGAATCTGCAGGATTCCCACTGTTCAGCTTGCCTGTAACATTTGGAATTGCACAAGTTGGCCTGTAGAAAAAAAAGAAAAAGCAGGAAATCAAAACTTATTTCCAGATTCCAGAATTCAACAAAGAACATTGTAAAATAAAATGACTACAATGACTTTCAATAAGAAACAAAGCACACTGATTACACACACACACAAACCTGCTATTTCCCTTGAGGGTGTAGGCAATCATGGCTATCCACAAATTCCTGTCCTTTGTAGCACTTAATGAATTGTCTTTTTGTTATTTCTTCTTAACCCTGTTCCACCATACATTTAATTAATCTCACTAAGTAGGTTATGCATCGTTTTCCTTTATCCCACTTGCCTTCAATCTGTCCTGTGAGTATCAGATTTTCAAGGACCTTTCCTCATTGTGCCCTAGAAATTTCAACTGTCTCTTCCTGATGTTAAACACGTTTCCTTTTCATTCTATTTTCTCCAAAATGTTATCATTGCACACATGTTCAGTCCATGGTATTCTCAGCATCCTTCCATAGAACCACATTTCAGTTGTTTCAAGTTTCTTCTTCTTTGAGGAAATTGTCCAGCATTCATTGCCACATATAAGGACAGGTATCACAAGAATTCAGTACTTTTTTTCTTCGTTTGTAACAAAGTTTTCCAATACTCTGCTTAGCTTTTGGAATACCTCATCAGCTATCCCAATGTACCTTCGGAATATAGCATTGCATTTTCAGTCCTCTGTTAAAACAGTTCCCAGATGTTTAAATTTTTGTACTTGTTTGATTTTGCTATCTCTAATTTGTAATTTGCACTTAAAGCTCATGCCTTTGCAAACAACCTGGTAAGACTCCTAATTCTCTCCAAATTGTCTCACTGTATAGTTTGAACAAGTCTGGCAACAAGACATCTTTCAACTATGATACTTGTAATCCTACATTGCATAACTGGAAAGAAATGTCATTACAATATGGAAAAGTGCATTCAGATTGTCAGCAAAGACAAACATGGGCTTTAACAAAATTTGCCTCAAGTTTTATTTTGTCAATAATTGGCCAGTTTTTGAAATGTTGCCTCAAAATGACAAGCACATTAAAATAGAGCATCCACTTGTCCAACTGTTGTTGGAAATTAATCATTTGTGAGGAGTAGAATTTGTCAACAATGTGTATAGTGAATGTAATGCATCCTGTCAGATTTTTAATGAGTTATTGGCAAGTGTTGTAATTTGAGTGCAAGGGTTACTGCCTGCCATTTAATTTCATTATACCATTCACAATGCCCACTGCCTTGAAGATTACCAGGAGTGGTCTGGCTAGTGAGAGGTCCATGACTATACAACATTCTTTCTCACCTCTAGTGACATGAAAGAAATACAGGTATGCCTAAGATAGCAAAACAATGACTCAAATACTAGATCATTGAAAGGTAAACACAAGAGAATTCTTGTAAATATCAGTTAGCTGAAACTGATAGCAAAGAAACTTTAAAATCAACATGCCAGTCTCACATACCTCAATGGGTTATTTAATGCTGACAGAATTTTTATTGCTGGTAATATTTCTTCAAAAATGTATTGCTGATAACATTTTTTTTCCTTTAAAAGTTATTGCTGGTAATAGTTTTTGCAAAGTATTTCTGGTATTAAAACCTATTTTTAGACTTTCATAATGATTTGACCCCAGTTTGTGGGTTAACTATTTGCCCATAGCTGGGACCATAACAGGTGCTACCACTCCAGGTCAGAGTGAACCTGGGAACACTAGCAATTAAGAGGTGGTTCCACGTCCCTCAAAACCTCATGATCAGAGGTCTTGCTGTTTATCATCTTACCCAGGATGCCAAATGGTTTTGGTTACTAGCATTTAATAAATTTGAAAATTAAAAGCTATTGGTTTTTTATCAACTTGGTTTTAAAGTAACAGTGAGTTCTGATTTAAATGTTGCTACAAAGGGACGTGTTTAAATGATGGATGGTCATATTTCAGGAAGGGGATCAATTTTTCAGCACCCTCTCATCTTTACAATAATTGGCAATCTAATGAGAATAATATGAGAAAATAGTTATATAGCATGATGTGCTGAATTCAGGTCCCAGGGAAGTTCATTTAGTAGCTAAAGACATACAGGATCAGACTTAAACTTACCCTCAAAGATAGTATTAACTTAAGAGACTCACGGAAGTCACAGAAAATGAAATCATCTCAGCAACTTCAGTAAATCTCCCAACATCAATGTCATGTTCTTCCTTAATTCTTCCTGCTATTCAGATAAGCAAACATTTTATGAAATAAAAGAAATATTACATTTCATGTGGCACAAGGCCAAAAGTGGAAGATTGGTCAAAACTGGCTATCCTATACCTAGCTAATGTGATTCACAACCCATTCATCCATTACAATTTACTTATTCACCACCATTCAAGCCAATAGATACCACAATACTAAATATTCAGTGATCTTACTAAAACACTCATGACAAAAAAAATTTCACAATATATATATAAATAAATAAATAAATAAATAAATAAAAGTATTTCCATTTGTTCTTTTTTTCTTATCAAAATTGATAAAAATATATGATATGGGGGGAGCGAACACAATAACAAATACAGATAAGCAAACATATTGACAATGAATTTATCTTTAATCCACTGAAAGCAGGCAAACACAATTAGTTACTGCATATGGAATCCAGCAGAATTTGTTTAACTGACTACAGGTCTGAAAATCACTGCAAGGCTGTCTTAAAGTCAATGAAGTAGGATGATGGACAAATAGCTTCCTCAAACTGCATTAAATTAACTATGTTGGATACAGAATGTCTTTTGCATCTTAGAATATAGATGCCATCAACTTTTTCTGATAGGTTGGAGAATGATCTCAGGTTATAGATTACACTCTTCAGAGTAAGGTGAGGCACCCATGCCACATCACCTGTCCTCATCAAACACCAACGTAGACAGTTCCAAAAGCTTAAAGAAAATCACTTTAGTCAATTGCTTTACACAAGTTATGTCAATTTCATTTCCACAGTCAAAACACAAAGTATCCTCCATGATAACTCAAAACTTTAACATAGGCAATGTTGTCTTCTGTTGTTGACAAACAGATGCTCTACACAAGGCTTGACTTGCAGATTTGTATACCTGCCCCCGTGAATGATTTAATCAGATTCTGATTAAACTGTTCACTTGCCAGCAATTTGCAATCGCCTGATGTGTTGTATGCACATCGAAACATGACTGCAATTGCATAGCAATTTTGACATGTTTTTGATGTAATATCCTAAAATAAATAATATTGCTCTACTTTGTATTGAGACCTCTTTTAAATTAAATGTTATGAACATTGGAATTGTACTCTATTCATTCTCATCTTACCTGGATATATATGTGTATGTTTGTAAGACTTGTAGCAGTTTGGAGTCAGCCTTCAGACTAACTAATACAGGGGTCACAGCAATTAGACAAAGTATTAAGTATAGCAAATCTTTATATGATGTACATTACATAAGTTAGAGTGTCATAACAAAAGCCATAAATGAGGTATTTGAAACTGGCTTTATATCCGTTGTAATGAGGAGTTAAAAGAATTTCAGCCACGTTGGTTCATAAAGATCATTCTTGCAAATACGGAGGAAATTTTGGCTTCCATAATTGAAATTCAACAGCAACATTAGCAACAAAAAAAAAATCAACAGTTGCTACAAGTACAAAAACAGCAACAGGAGTCGCTGGATATAATTTTAAAGAAAACAATTATTTGTCTCCTCTTACGCCAGACGATGTCCAAACCACCATATCAGAATTTATATACAATCCTGATGAGGGATTGCATTTGTTTTTTTTAATGTGCTCACCATCAATTTACTTTTGTACCTCAAGAGCACAGTATCCAGAACATCTGAAGAATCTGTTGAGCTCAATACAATAGAGTCAAACACGAAATTCCAATTCCAGATGTGCTGGGCACTTTCCAGGGTCATTCTTCTTTTCAGGACAAGATAATGAAGTAGTTTACTTACTTATTAGCTGGACAAACTGGTTGGCTCGCCTGTGCAAGTGTACGGTTGTTGACATTAGTAGCTGAGGCAGAAGACGACAAAGTTGAAGTGGTGGCAATCAAGGGCAAATGTGGAGCAGAAGGTGCCGTAGCAGACATGACAACTGCAGAGGCAGGGGCCAGGCTGCTCACAACAGCTGCTGAGGTGGAAGGAGGAGCCAACATGGACGTTGCAACAGCAGTAGACACTTCCTTGCTGGCTGGAGACTGAAGAGGAGGTGGTGGTGGAGGGGGCTGTGTGTTGAGTCCTACGGCAGCAGAAGATGATGAGGTCGGCATGGGAGTCACCACCACTGCAGCTGCAGTAGTACCACTTGTGGCTGCACCAGTCGTGCTGCTTGACGGTGAGCTGGTAGATGACGATGACGACGAGGCTGTGGCGGCGACCACAGGAGAAGTGATCACAGATTCTTTGGCCAATGGCTTAGCAGTACCTCGCACTACATCGGACAATTTGTTCTCAAATTTTTCACCTGATGCGGCATTGTTCTATAAAATAAAATAAAGATACCTTTAAGAAAAAAAAAAAGAAAAGAAATTTGTGTAATATGTGTACCCCCTATTCTTTAAAGAATCCAAAAGAAACATTTGTCCTTTAGATATGGCACGATGTACACATTATTAGTGGAAGGAGCTAAAATTTATAATGCCAAGTACAATTCTGAATTTCCAAGACTGTTCTAGAGCTCATGCTTTGTCAAAGGCAAAAAAGTATTGTTTCTAATCAGCTGTTATTAGATACTAGGCCATCTATTAAAATATAATATTAGCTACCGCAGCTGTTTAAAAGCCTTGTTTTTGCCATATAGGGAAATCCAACATGGCGCGTAAACAAGATATTTACCAAAAAATCCCATTTGTCAATAACATTTTTAAACCCCTCATAGAATGTAAAGTTCTTAAAGCAAACTTGTGCCAAACTGTTTTCCTGAATCTTTGATGACTTGGCTGTCCGAAAATGGCAACATCAAGATGAAATAATGGAAACTGACAGTGAAAAAACAATTATGTGCAACAAGTTTTCAATCAATCAGTAAACTTCTGGACCTTTTCGGACGACGTTATATGATCCACACGGCTTTTGTTTGCAGATAGAATTATTCACTGGTAATTAATCTTCAATTTGGCTGTGAAAAATGTCACTCGGGAGTTAGCATTAAGAAATTATGTCCAATTTTCTGAGAAAACTCCCCTTTCTTTTATGAAAAAAATATTTATTTTCACTTCAAAATAATATCATTCAAACTTCACTCCTTTCTTAAGTTGGTGTGAACATCATTGAATAAAAGGAACGGCTTAATGGCCCAATGATGGGAAATACTAAAGACATGTCGAAAAAAAACCCAATGTCGTTTGCTAAGTGTTGTTGTCATCACTCTGGCCACAAACAAAACACATCAAGCCATTGTTCAAACACCTTATATCAAGCCCTATCAATCAATGTTGACCCCCTCCCCCTACTCTTATCTGGGAGTGGTGGGTTTTATTACAAGCTAACAGCTTGTCCTAAATGTTTATTCCTGACTGGCTGACCTTTGACCCAGACATGTCATAGTCAATATGGCTTAATTTCCCTTATCTCTATTTATTTTTTTTTCTTTTTGGAGGAAAAAAAAAAAAAAAACAACTTTTGGTTGCTGGTGGTCTGGAGCTGCAGAGAAATCTTTCGCCTTTTACTAAAGGTTTCCGTGACTGGGTTTTTTTTAACCTCCTTAAGTCATATAATTGAAAATTACCAATGGACTTAGTCACATTTTGAACCCCCCCCCTACGAATGTTGATTTCCTTTAAAACTTTAAATTTTATGCCTGAAATAGTTTCATTATGATTTAGGCTTCCCGATGAGATATATATAAAAAAGGAAAAAGAAAAAAAAGCAAGAAATTTTTTTTTTGAGTAATTTACACCAGCCAATTTTATTGTTAAATGAAAGAATATATCCTTTGCTTTTAGAAAATACCTACTTTGATGGGGTTCAGATCAGTTCCCTTGATATTTGTCCAGATGCAATATTTGACCCCTATAAAAGTATGAAAATCCATTTTTTTTTTTTTTTTTTTTTTTAGAGAAAATAAGCTGTGACAAAATGACTTGCCATTTTTGTGATGATTTTTACTTAGGATAGAAAATTTTTACCACAGCAAACCTGAATTGACTTTATTTAAGTTTAGTGGGGCTATGGGAAACCTCAAACAGCTGTGCTACTTCACCCATTAATGTACATAGTAAAAATTTTAAGCATTATATATCCAGTATTATTATTATTTTTAAACTTATAACCCAATAATGCCCATTTTCAGACAGTAGGCTTTAATAGTTTTATCTGGAATTAAAACTATTTCCCCAACAAATTTAAACCTAAATTTATTTCTTATATTAAGTAACCAAAATTGCTCATTGTAAAAACAGTTTAAAATTTAACTTCTATTTCAACTGTCGATTTTTTTATTATTTTTTTTAAAAAGATATTTTGATAGAATTAGGATGTAAACAAAATTTTATCTCTTGTCTTAAATTCTTTCTTATATGTAAAGATCAATCTTTATTTCACATCTCTTTAAATTAGATTACTATTTCAACAGCAGCCATATTTGTTTTCACCATTTTCAAAATTGACACTTTCATAGTGGTGATTTTAAAACTTGTGCTCAGAGTTGTCTCTCCTTACACTTATCAAAACAACACCATCTTAAAGAAAAAGTACACTGGTCCATTTCATAGGCTTAAGATAATTGGAGTTCCCTTTCACAAAAAAATTTAATGGATAAAATATCATAGAAATTCAACTTAAAGTTTAAATTGCACCTTCTTGTAGAGTAATGTCACATCTTTAATAATCAATTAGCTTTGTATCTCTGCACCTATAAAATTTGAGGTGAATCCTTAGGCAAAAGCATTGGGTGAGACTCAATGAAATTCATAGTGCAGAGTAAATGAACATCGCTATCCTAATTCAGACTTATTTCATAGATTGATATTACAGTTTAAATTTTTTTTTCCTATTTTCTTTCAATGATGTATTTTAAAACTATACTTGTCGTGCCCATACTTTGCCAAACTGTTACATTTAATCACTATTGCCAGGACTTGTTTTTAGGCATTTTCTTAAAAATATTAAGCAGAATTTACATTATAAAATAAAAAATATATAAACAGGATATATTCTTAGTTCTTTAACTTTTGCACTCACATTTGTCTGTAAAGAAATAAAAGTAAAATTTTAAAGCGTCCAATTTTCCATTGAACAGTCTTTTATTTCATTTACATTCATGGCAAGGATTCCTCTAATTATCTGGATTTATGGATTAAATTCAAAATTTATTTAAATTTTCTTTTCAAATATTGAAACTGGATATCAGAAAAAATAAAAATTAACTTTTTATATATTTACACATAACCATAGGCAGAAATTATTTTTGATGGCCTTTGTTGGATGATATTTCACAAGTGACATTTGTCTTTACATATAACTTTGATCTTATTCAACTTTCAAGTGATGATAGGGGATGTTGTTGGGTTTTACAGCATGTCAACCTTTGATGGGTCATTTTATGCTGGATCCATTTACGTAATTATTATTATTTTATTCTTATCAAAGTTGAGTTGTATTTCAAAGTTCTGTTGTATTTAAATAATTTGTAGAAATAATCTGATTTTTATTTTTTTCTAATTTATTGTATCCCTTTCAAGAAATCCATGATTTTCTAATTTTTACTTTTTTAAAAAGTTCTGTTAGGTTCCTTGCCTTGAAGTATCATTTCCTGATATGAGCTACGCTTTCACATGTTTTACTGTTAGGATAGATCCGCATGTACACTTTGTTCGTCCTTGTTTAAGTATTTAGTAGTGTGTGTCCTATGTGCAGTCGACTTGCGACAACCTCCTCTCTGGTTTATTTTATTATTCATTTTCCCAAAGTGGGTTTTATTTTAAATAGTTTATTTTCTTTATGCATTTCCCATAATTACTGCCATTTCTTTTTTATGTATTTGTTTATTTTTGATTTCATGTCTGTCGGGTACTTTGAATTTCTTATCGATGGTCATTTCTAAGGATGACTTAGGTGCTGAGTCAGCTCTGTCACTTGCTTTAATTCCAATGAGACTGGGTATCCAGTAGAATATTGTGTTTTGTTTTTTCCAAGGTGTTGATCCCATTTAGCAGTTTTATTACCTATGGATTTTCTATTTTTTTCTCTTTTAAGGAGACTAAGACCGATAAGCAGCCTGAGAACCTAAATTTTTTCTCAGATAGGATATGTCTATGGCACCAGCCTCAGAAAATAGATGCCTTATTTGGTAATTGTTTTTTGATAAGAGTTTTGTCAAATACTGCTTCACTCCCTGTTCTTTCCATATTTTTAGACCCGTCAGTAATTCTTCTGCAGAACAACGTTACTGACAGGACACTTCCCTGTGGGATACCACCTTACTTTTTAAGATTGGATAGGGTGGATCCTATGCATACTTTGAAGGTTTTTTTTCTAAGAAATTTTTAATAAAGACTGGCAAATTAGCCTCTCAGACCAAGTTTATGAATAGCCTTCATAATCCCATGCTTCCAGATAGTGTCATATGCCTTCTCTAGGTCAAAGACAACAATGGTTAGATTTTCTTTTTTAATGTTACCTTCTCTTATAAAGCTTTCCAATGATCTACTGTACTCTTCCTTTTTTTCCTTTTTTTTTTCTCCCTGAAGCCACATTGGAATTTTTTTTTTTTTTTTTTTTTTCAGTCTCCTCTTAATCATTCCTTCCATTGTTTTGCAAAGGCATACTTGGTCAGCAATATTGGCCTATAGTTTTGTGGGTCTGCATGATTTTTTTCCCCCCAGTTTTGGAATCTGGATAATTATTGTTTGCTTCCAGGCTTTGTGAATTTCTCCATTTTATCCAGATTTTATTGAATATATGTAATAGGTATTCTGGGGATTCTTGTGGGAGGTACCTGATGAATTTGTAGCATATACCATCAGGGCCCTCTGCTGTGTTATGGGACATTTCAATGGACTCCCCGAGTTCTGTCATAGTAAGAGGTTTGTTGTAATATTCAAGGTTATTTGATGAGAAGGTGAGTTTAAGCTTTTCCTTCCGTTTGATATTTTGGAATCTCTGGTTTCCATCTGCCTTGGAGTTTTCCGAGTAGGTTTTGGCTATTTCTACCTTGCTAGTTATTTTATCATTGCCTATCACTAGATCCTTTAGAGAGGGTTTGTTTTGTTTTTTTTTTCCTGATATTTTTCTTACCATTTCCCAAATTTTTGTTTTGTTTTGTTTTTGAGTTGAGGTTGTTCACATATTTTTTTCCAACACTCTCTTTGCTTCTTTTATTGTACTGTGAGCCCGTGCTCTGAGGTGTTTGATCTCAGAGTGTGATGATTGTACCGCTGAATTTCCACAGGGTTGCTCACCAAAGTATAATTGCCTCCTGGCAATCTTTATCAAACCATGGCTTATTTCATTTATTCTTCATTTGTCCTTTTGGTATGCATTCCACTTCTATGGTGTTAAATGTTTCCATAAAGTGATCCTCAGCATTTGTGACCTTGATTAGCTGGGTTTTTTTTTTCCGTTTTGCATTCACTTTCATATTTTCCCCAATCTGCTCTTTTTAGCTTGTTTCGCATAATATCAGGTCTATAGCAGAAAGATTGCCAGAGGTTGGGTTTAAGTATGTTGTAGACCCAGTATTAACAAAAAAACTGATTGTTGCTTTTATTGTTTCTTCAAGCATTCTACTTTTTCAACCTGTTTGTTTGCTTCCCCATATGGCATTAATTTTAGTTTATTACCCTTAAGAAAGGTTTCTTATAAGCATACAATGTCATGGTTTAAGTTAGTCAGCAATAGCGAAAGTGCATTAAATTTTAGCTTTATTCCATTGGATTATTTTGCTCTTCATTATGTGTTTAGTGCGTTCTCTCTTTTCTTTGGTTTCTTTCTTGTGGTATTTTAATTGTCTTCTATTCCTTCAAGCAATATGACTTTATCTTTAGTTTCTATCAGGACCTTTTGTTTAAACGATTCTTTTGGTTGCACGTTCTTTCTTGTGGGAGTTTGTTGTGTGTTGGCCTGGGATTCTTTCTTAAAGATGACCCTGTTTTTTGGTTATCAGTTTCCATATATTCCATAAGTTTTATACTGTTTCTTTTTCTTATTTGTGAACCTGACAGAGTATTTGTATGTTCTTGATCATTTAGGTTCTTTTCATTTCGTTTTTTTTCTTTCTTCTGATTATCTTTACGTGGGCTATTGTCCTGTCCTGTTTATTTGCTTTTAATTCTGTTTTATCCGTTTTTCGGATTTCGATTTTAGGTTGGATTATTTTCTGTCAGTTTTCTGTTTGGGTAATTTCCCATTTGAGAAGTTTTGAGTTTTTTTGTTGTGATGATAGAATATGGAGTGTTTCAAGAATATTGGCTATAGCAGAGGCTTATAAACAAATACAGATTGCAAAGCATCATTAGAAAGAAGAAATGCAGAAGACCATTCCAACTGTCCAGATATATTGGAAGTAATGAAAGACTATGTATTTTTATTCATTTTATTTTGAAGATGAATTAGTTCAAAGCTTCATATTAAGTGTTTGTTTGAAGGATTGACCAATGATTTTATTTCATGAAACAATGTAAGCTTTGTGGTTATTACTGTCCCTTTCTGATAAATTGAAATTGCATGATTTCAAACTTTCCAAAATTAGATATATCTGTGAGAAATGGTTATTACGTTAAAGAGAAAAGAATCTATTGAATTCCTCACCTCAAAATTAATGTTTCAAAGTTCCAAGCATGTAACACCAATGAATACTTTTTTTTTTTAATGGCAAATTCAGGATGGTATATTTTTTTAATGGCAAATTCAGGATGGTATATTTTTTTAATGGCAAATTCAGGATGGTATATTTTTTTAATGGCAAATTCAGGATGGTATATTTTTTTAATGGCAAATTCAGGATGGTATATTTTTTTAATTTCAAATTAAGGATTGTATATTTTTTTAATGGCAAATTCAGGATGGTATATTTTTTTTTAATGGCAAATTCAGGATGGTATATTTTTTTAATGGCAAATTCAGGATGGTATATTTTTTTAATGGCAAATTCAGGATGGTATATTTTTAATGGCAAATTCAGGATGGTATATTTTTTTTAATGGCAAATTCAGGATGGTATATTTTTTTAATGGCAAATTCAGGATGGTATATTTTTTTTTTGGCAAATTCAGGATGGTATATTTTTTTTAATGGCAAATTCAGGATGGTTTCTATTTTAATGGCAAATCAGGATGGTTTCTTTTTTAATGGCAAATTCAGGATGGTATTTTTTTTTATGGCAAATTCAGGATGGTATATATTTTTTTAATGGCAAATTCAGGATGGTATATATTTTTTTTTAATGGCAAATTCAGGATGGTATATTTTTTTTTTTTATGGCAAATTCAGGATGGTATATATTTTTTTTTTATGGCAAATTCAGGATGGTATATTTTTTTAATGGCAAATTCAGGATGGTATATTTTTTACCTGTTTTTGCCCTACTGTCACATTGGTCTTCTGCTGGTCGTACATGGCGTAAATGATTTTTTTTTTTTTTTTTACTGATGTACTACTGGAAGGTAAAAAAAATGTTTCATCTCTGCTGTGCTAGGACTCAGCAAGAAGTTGCAAAGCAATAACTGTTGAAATGAAACATCAGTCAAAAGTGACCATTTTGTTTTTGAGAACGCATTTTTCCCCCCCAATGAGGCTGGTATGATCTAATAGTTATTTATTTCGTTAGTATTATATTTCTATCTATATGAAATGATACGATTTAAAAAAAAAAAACTATTTTGAAGTGTATATCTTCAGTTATACACAGTTGAAATTGGCTTCTGGCCCAATAGGAGACAAAAAACTGGTCAATTTTGAATGATCATAATTTTGTAGCTAACTGAGTGACCAAGGTAATTTTTTTTATGTTTAGTCAAGCTATCTATGCCAGTATTTTTTTTTTTTTAAATAGATATATTGAAAATAAAATTTTAGTTTAGGATACCTACTTCTATGCATTTTACTAAACAGGTTTTAAAAGGAAAATTTTCTACTTACTTGTGATCCTGGCAAGGGCGGGAAAGAATTAGATTCAAATTCAAATTGTGGCTCGGTATATTTGTTATTGGCAGAGATTTGAGATGAATTCTGACGCTTCAAAAAGAAAAGGAAATTTCATGAAAGATCAAAGCAAAGAACATTTAGGGGGGAAAAAAAAATTTTAAAAAATAATTTCAGATCAAATGAGAGATGACCAATCTAATATGTTGAGCAGATAGAATATTTGCATATTATTGTTTTTCCAATCCAGATATTTAAATTTGGCCCCCTGACTAGATAATTTACATAGTGACTGTAGACATCATTGAAGATTTCAATTTGATAAGATTTTAAACTCATTTCAAACTTTAAACCTTTTTCATTTCAATATTCATACAGGACAACACAAAAGAGTTAACCATCTTAAGTAAATAAGTAGAAAAATTAAAATTACTCACAGATAATTTGGAATAATCCTCATCTTTTTTTCTTCGTCCTTTGTTGTAGAGTTTTCTGTTATAAAAGTCAAAAAAAGTGGCGGGAAAATGATATGCATGTAAGGAGAGAATTAAAATAACTAAATAAATAAAAAAGATTCATACAAGTTTCATGAGATTTTGATTTGATTATAGCTTTCCAACCTATTTGCATTAGCAATAGTTTGTTAAATTCACAATATATCTTAAACTGTACTAATAACGGCATGAACCAGCCACAACTATCAAGAAAAGAACTTGTGATCCAATACAAATCACAAAGCAATAAACTATAAATTATAAGAAATAAAAACAATTTGAAACTCACAAACCAGTTTCATCATTTTTCACCTCCCAATGCTGTCTGTTTGTAAAAAAAAAAAAAAAAAAAATCCTGATATATAAAAACCAAATACACTATACAGTGTCATGAATTTGCATATTCATACCTACCCATCTATCCCTCCCACAAAAAAAAAAAAAGAAAAAGAAAAAAAGACATGCTAAAATAGACACCAACTCAAAGCAGTGTTTGATTTTTCCAGCCAGCCTAGAATGAAATATTTTATCATTAGCTAACTTGGCCCCCTTCATAAAGCTTTAAAATTACACATCTTTTTGATAAGATGTATTTATCCTGACTACTTAAAAAAAAAAAAAAAAAAAAAAATTTATTTTAGTTAGATGCTAAAAGCTAAAGTACTTCTTTATACCCAAAATCAGGCATGTCAAACATGCTGCCCTTTACAAGCACACCTACAGCCCACACAAAAGATAACAATTTGATCATTTAATGGCTAAAATTGCAGTCCTTATAATTTAGAAATTACAGCATTTAAGAAATGTTTTTTACATTTTTATTAATAGAATACCATTTACTGTATAAATTTATTTAAAATAATTTTAATATTAATCGACAAACTTAGTATGGCACTAAGCTATTATCTTAAAAATTGTAGCAAAAATTTGATATTCTTGGTGGCTGAGAAAATAGTGCGGAAACAAATTCTCTTCAGTAGCCATGCCCACCAGCCACCTCACCACATAAACAATATGGCAGCTCATTAACAACTGTAAAGAAAAAAAACTTTCTTTCAAAATTTCTGCACAACAGTGAATGAAAAGACAACCTGAAAAGACATCAAGTGAACCATCTATCTTATAATAAATATGAAGGCCCAATGCACATTTTAAAACTCATGGAATTGAAGGCATAGCAACAGACCATTTTTACAAAAATTCAGAAACAGAATGCTTTCATTACTGCAAGCTATGAACTCAGCTGAATTATAGCCATAAGTGAGAAAATCTGGAAGAGAATTTTGTAAAGCAATGCTTTGTAAAAACAGTTGAAATTGTATATCTAGAGAAAGCACATTTATTCAAAGACATTTCATTAACAAGGAACACTGTTGCTGAACAGATTGATGAAATGTCGGGTGATTTGAAACAGTTGAAAGCTGTATCATGAAGGTTTGAACATTCTTCTACAGCTATTTATGAGACTGTTGACATCACTGAAATAGCACAACTTGCAATCTTCATCAGGGCCTGTGACAGTGAATTTAATATTTATGAAAAACTGATCTGACTAAACTGGTCCCCATGCATGACACCAGGACATTTTTTTAGAGAATTGAGTGTGTGTATAGTTTTAATTTGCATAAACTTGCATGCTTATCTACTGATGGGGCTGCAAATATGGTTGGCAAACATGATGGCATTGCTGCCAAGTTACAAAGAAAACTAGAAAACTTGCATCCAGAGTCATCATTTACACATTTTCATCAGCAAAATGTTTTAAAGGATTTTAAAATTGGATCATGTGCTTAGCTTGGTCACAAAGACAGTGAACTACACCAGAGGCTCAATCACCATTGGTTCAGTTGGAAGGTATAGATAATATGTTCACCGATGTTCCATTTGACACAGAAATCCACTGGTTGCCATGACACAAAGTGCTGAAAAGATTCTATTTGTTGAGACAAGAAATAATTGTGTTTTTGGAAATGAAAGCTCAAAAACAGATGAAATAAAAGATGAAAGATGGCTCCATGATCTGGTTTTTGCTGCAAATATCACTGCACAATTAACTGATCTTAATTTGAAAGTACAAGGTAAAAACAAACTCAGTTGTATGATGACATCAAGTGTTTCATTACAAAACTAAGCTTATCAAATGTCAAATGAAAATTTAGCTCATTTTTCTACATGCAAAAGAGCTGAAAAACATTGCCAATATGGAGACTCTACTTAGCTGTGCTAAGTATGACAGTCATCTCGAATTGTTGTCAAAGGAATTTCAAAAAAGATTGTGATTTTTCATCTTTTGAACAGCAGTTTGCATTTTTCTCAACACCATTCACTTTTGATGTTGCCAAAACAGAAGCCAGCCTGCAGACTGAACTAACAGAAATGCAGTTGGATTCTACACTCACAGCAAAGTACACTCAATTCTCTTTTTGCACGGTTTTAAAATAACATAGTCCAACAAAAAGAACAGATTTTTTTTTTTTTGCACTAATTTTTTTTTTTTTTTTTGCTTTAACATGGTTTAAACATCTGTCCTTGAGTGACCACCAAATTTGTTGCAAGTGGCAAGTAAACAATTAAGTAACATCAATCAATTATAATTTACAAAATGCTGAAACTCTACGTAACATGATTAGGTAACAATTTAGCAAAGTAAAATGGAATCCAATCTATCTTTTCCGTATAGTGATCCCCTACTCTCGGTGTTAGTGGGACCTATGCACTGTACATACATAGTATGTTAGTTTACAGTAGTGATGATAATGAAGTGGTTTTACTATCTGCAAATACAGTTCTAGAAGGCCTCCAAATAGCCAATAAACTTGGAAATCATTTTCTTATAAACAACAATGTTGAACGAGCTGTGCAATTCCAACATGATTTGAAAATGATTACAGCACATTATAAAGAATCATATAAAGAACTAAAAACAAAATCACAGCATCTGATAACCAACCCATTTTGTATTCAAAAACCAGTAAAACAAAAAGAAACACAAGATGTTAACTTTTTATTTAGTTTTATTTTGCATGCTAGTCTTGGGAACACATGCACCGTGCAAAAAGGGAATTGAATATATCTTGTAGGAATACCTGGGTTCTTTTCATACCTTCCGAAAAAGTTTAAAAACTTCAGAAAGAGTGTCACAAAGATTATGGCAATGTGCGTGTGTGTAGACAATTATTTTCCTTCATGAAATCAACAAAAACGTCTCTGAGAACAAGGCTAACTGATCAGCATGTTATCTCTGATCAAAGAGTATAGACATTTCAGTCAGACATACCAAAAATTGTCAGCAAAAAGGAGGTCCCA